GTAAGTTTCATTGCATCAGATAAAGTTATCGTGTTCAGCTTATTTGCATGAATAGTAGAGATTTAATTACGAGATTTATGGGTGCTTTCTAGTTCGTATTAATTAAAAGCTTAACACCCTGAGGTGCCCATAATTTCGCCAAATAGTGTATTATTGTCTTATTAAAATAATAGTAATATTTATACTAATTAACGTCATCTCAAAATTTTGGCGATAAATTCTACCCAAAACGTACAAAATGTGATGAGTTTTTACTTATGATTTATAATTGCATTCATATTTTTTAGATTTGCTTAAACAGGTGGTTCCAAAAAATTAGTGAATGAGTTACCTTATTTTAATTTTTAATGCTTCAATGTTTCGTTTAGTCATTTTTTTCGATTTTTCAACTTCTCGGTTTTACATTTTTTTGGTTTTTCAGTTTTTCCAGTTTTAAGAATTTCAATTTTTCGATTCTTTTTTCGATTTTTTAATTTTTTGATTTCACGATTTATGGAGATTTCGATGTTCCGATTTTTCGATTATTCACTTTCCCAATTTTTCGATTTTTCGATTTTTTTGCATCTTTTTGGAGTATTCCGATTTTTCGATTTTCCGACTTTTCGATTTTTCGATCCCTTGATGTTTCGATTTCTCCATTTTTTTTAATTTTTGGATTCTTCGATTCTTTGAAGTTTTTTGATTTTCCAATTTTTCAAAGTCCCGATTTTTTAATTTTTCGATTTTCCAATTTTTCAATTCTTCGATTTCCCAATTTTTCAACTTATTAATTTTGGGATTTTTCAGTTTTTCAATTCAGTTTTTCGATTTTTCAATTTTTCAATTTTCCGATTTTTCGTTGTTTTCAGTTCAGATTTTTGAGTGTTTTCAATTCAAATTTTTTGTTTTTGGGCTAATTTCCCGATTTTTTGATTACTCGTTATCTTGATATTTCGATTTTTCGAAGTTTTAATTTTTCAATATTTCAATTCTGGGAGCTTTCATTTTTTTAATTCGATTTTTCGATTTTTCAATTTTTCAATTTTTGAAATTTTCGACTTTTACTTTTCCATTTTTTGATTTCTCGACTGTCCAGTGTTTTGTTTTCTCGTTTTCTCGATTTTTCGAATTTTCTGTTTTTCTGTTCTGTAATTTTTCAATTTTTCGACTTCTCGGTTTCAGATTTTTCGGTTTTTCAAATTTTCGATTTTTAAGATTTTTTATTTTTTATTTTTCAACTTTTCGATTTCAGGATTTATTAAGATTCCAATGTTTCGTTCTTTGAATTTTTCAGTTTCTCCATTTTCAAATTTTCGACTACTGGATTTCTCAATTTTTCAATTTTTGGCTTTTTCACGTTTTCATTTTGGGCCTTCCTGAATTTTCAATTTCTCAATTTATCCATTAATCGATTTTTATTTCGATTTTTCGATTGCTAAATTTTCCGATTTTTCGATTTTCGATCATTTTCTATTTTAAATTTTTCAATTTTTAATTTTTCTATTTTTTGATTTTGGGCCAATTTCTCAACTTTTCGATTTCTCGGTTTTTTTGATTTTTCTATTTCCCAATTTTTCAACTTTTCAGTTTTGGGATTCTTCAGTTTCTTGATTTTTCAGTTTTTCAATCCCTCAATTTTTGATTTTTCCAATTCTAGACGTTCTCGATTTTTATTTCGATTTTTCAATTTTCGATCATTTTCTATTTTAAATTTTTCAATTTTTAATTTTTATATTTTTCGATTTTGGGCTAATTTCGCAACTTTTCGATTTTTCAGTGTTTTAATTTTTCAGTTTTTGTATGTTTGATTTTTCGTTTTAGAGGCTTTTTGATTTTTCTATTTCCCAATTTTTCAGCATTTCAGTTTTGGGAGTGTTCAATTTCTTGATTTTTCAGCTTTTCAATCCCTCAATTTTTGATTTTTCCATTTCTAGAAGTTTCGATTTCTCGTTTTTTCGATTTCGTTTTACGATTTTTTGATGTTCCTATTTCCCAATTTTTTAATTTTTCAACATATGAAGTTTACTATGCCAGTGTTGTTATTTTTTAATTTTTCGATTTTTCAAATTTTCGACTTTTCGATATTTTGATTTTTTTCATTTCTTGATTTCTCGAATATTCAATGTTTCAATTTATCCACTATCTTTCAGTTTTTTAATTCAATTTTTCGATGAATCAATTTTTTTTATGTCAGTTACAGTATTTTTCAATTTTTCTATTTTTAAAATTTTTTATTTTGCCATTTTTCAACTTTTTGATTTGATGATTTCTCGAGATTCCAATTTTTCGATTTTTCAGTTTCTCTATTTTTCAAATTTTTGACTACTCGATTTCCCAATTTTTCGATTCTTCATTTTGTCAATTCTTCAATTTTTCTATTTTTCGCTTTTTCAATTTTGAGCCTTCCTGAATTTTCGATTTCTCAATTTCTCGATTAATGGCTTTTTATTTCGATTTTTTGATTGCTAAATTTTCCGATTTTTCGATTTATCAATTTTTCGCGTTTCGATCGTTTTCCATTTTAAATTTTTCAATTTCTCAATTTTTCAAATTTTCGACTTTTTGATATTTCGATTTTTTCATTTCTTGATTTTTCGAATTTTCAATGTTTCAATTGATCCACTTCTCTATTTCTCAATTTTTGTATTTTCAGTTTTTCCGTTCAAATTTTCGATTTTCCTGTTTGGCAATTTTTGGGATATCTAAATGTTTCGATTTTTCGATTTCTAAATTTTCCGATTTTTCGTTGTTTTTAGTTTTTAATTTTTATTTTGCCATTTTTCAACTTTTCAATTTCATGAGTTCTCGAGATTTCAATGTTTCGATTTTTCAGTTTCTCAATTTTTCAAATTTTTGACTACTCGATTTCCTAATTTTTCGATTTTTCATTTTTTCAATTTTGAGCCTTCCTGAATTTTCGATTTCTCAATTTTTCGATTAATCGATTTTAATTTCGATTTTTCGATTGCTAAATTTTCCGATTTTTCGATTTATCATTTTTTCGATTTTCGATCGTTTTCCATTTTAAATTTTTCAATTTTTAATGTTTCGATTTTTCGATTTTGCTCTAATTTCCCGACTTATTTTTCAATTTTTCGATTTTTGAATTTTTCGATTTTTTAGTTCCTCCATTTTTCAAATTTTCGACTGCTCGATTTCCCAATTTTTCGGTTTTTCATTTCGTCAATTCTTCAATTTTTCGATTTTTCACTTTTTCAATTTTGAGCCTTCCCTGACTGATTTTTCAATTTCTCAATTTTTTAAATTTTCGACTTTTCGATATTTTGATTTTTTCATTTGTTGATTTCTCGAATTTTCATTGTTTCAATTCATCCACTTCTCTATTTCGCAATTTTTGTATTTTTCAATTTTTCGATTTTTAAAATTTTTATTTTGCTATTTTTCAACTTTTCGATTTCATGAGTTCTCGAGATTCCAATGTTTCGATTTTTCAGTTTCTCAATTTTTCAAATTTTTCGATTAATCGATTTTTATTTCGATTTTTCGATTGCTAAATTTTCCGATTTTTCAGTTTTTCGATTTTCGATCGTTTTCCATTTTAAATGTTTCAATTTTTAATTTTTCGATTTTTCGACTTTGGGCTAATTTCCCGAATTTTCGATTTCTCAATGTTTTGATTTTTTAGTTTTTCTGTTTCATTTTTCGATTTCTCGGTTTTTCAATACTGACTTTTCGATTTTTCAATTTCTCAATTTTCCGACTTTTCGATATTTTGATTTTTTCATTCTCGAATTTTCAATGTTTCAATTTATCCAGTTCTCTATTTCTCAGTTTTTGTATTTTCAGTTTTTCCGTTCAATTTATCGATTTTTCAGTTTTGCAATTTTTGATTTAACTAAATGTTTCGATTTTTCGATCGCTAAATTTTCCGATTTTTTGTTGTTTTTAGTTTTACGATTTTTGATTTTTTTAAGTTTAAATTTTTTTATTTTTAATTTTTTTACTTTGGTCCAATTTCCCGACTTTTCGATTATTTGTTCTTTTGATATTTCGTTTTCTCATTGTTTTAATTTTCCATCATTTCAATTTTGGGATCTTTCAGTTTTTTAATTCAATTTTCGATTACACAATTTTTCAATGTCAGTTTTAGTATTTTTCAATTTTTCGATTTTTACAATTTTTTATTTTGCCATTTTTCAACTTTTCGATTTCATGAGTTTTTCGATTTTTCAGTTTCTCTATTTTAAAAATTTTTGACTACTCGATTTCCCAATTTTTCGAGTCATTTTGTCAATTCTTCAATTTTTCGATTTTTCACTTTTTCAATTTTGAGCCTTCCTGAATTTTCGATTTCTCAATTTCTTAATTAATCTATCGTTTTCCATTTAAAATTTTTCAATTTTTAATTTTTCGATTTTTCGATTTTGCTCTAATTTTTCGACTTTTCGATTTCTCAATGTTTTAGTTTTTCAGTTTTTCTGTTTGATTTTTCAATTTCTCGGTTTTTTGATTTTTCTATTTCCCAGTTTTTCAACAATGTTTCAATTTATAGGCTTCTCTATTTCTCAATTTTTCGATTTTCAGTTTTCGATTCAATTTTTCAATTTTTGATTTATGGAAATACTGTTATTTTTCAATTTTCATTTTACACTAAATAAAATAAGTCAGTGAAATGGAAAAATAAGGTGGGCGGGGCTAAATTCAGGTTACTTCCAGTTTTATGAGAAAGCAGTAGCCCCGCCCACACACCCCTTTTTCGTTCCAGTGACTACTCTTAATATTTTTCGGTACTAGCATAGCAAGTTTTAGCCCCGCCCACCCACCGTTTTTTTATAGAAAATATGTCATCTACCAAAATCAATCTTATCTGAACAAGTACTAGCCCCGCCCACCCACCCCCTCTTCTCCTTCTAACGACAAATTTTATTTCTGTTTAGTATAAGATCATTCATTTTATTCAAATCGCATAAAATCAATCTCTGTAAAGGAGAAAGGGTGGGTGGGCGGGGCTAATTATGTTCTTCTGTCGACTGGGAGTGGGAGTAGAAACTAGTAATAGGTCAGGTCCAAAAAGCCAATTTAATGATTTTTGACAAAATTAATTGTTATTTGTCAATTCCCACCATGGAAATACAAAGAACAAGAACCACATTTAAAAATAAACATTGTGTAAAGTACTATCTTTCATAGTTCATCTCTTGCAGTACCGCTTCCAAAAATGTAGTCCTCAAGATCGTCAGGTACTTCAGCGTTATCTAAATATTGTGCCAAAGCCCAATAGCGCTTCCTCAGGAAGTGAGCACCACCTTTTGGTTGCCTGTTCCTAGTAAATATGCCCTTCTTATTCCCTCCGACGCGCATAAAAGCTACAAATCAAGATTAACTAAAACCCTCACACCAAATTCTTCATTACTTTGATCCGTGTTGAAATCAGTGAAATTCCAAATCATTTCACCAATGAAAAAACCTTCCTCCCTCATTTCGTCGAAAGCCTGGAAGTACTTACTAAGTATAGCTTCTTGGAACTCCTCTGACCACATGAAGTTCGGTACCTGCAAAACATACTCGTACTGTATAAAAACCTCAATTGTGTCCAAACTCACCGAATGGTACCCTTCTAAAGTATCAGCACCATACTCGGCTATAATAACTGGTATATTGTGAAGTTCGTTCCACCTTCGTGCCACTTTCGTAACTTCATTAATAACAATATCGAGATCTCCGGGCTCAAAGTACCACCCATGGTACACATTACAAGACGCTATATCCAAAAACTGCCCAGAATGGTCGTCGTCAGGTTGCTGGAAGTTGTCAACCGTCACAGGACGAGTACTATCCAAGCTCTTGATGTGTGCGACTATCTGCCTGTAGTAGTCCTCGGACTCTTGGTACTGCGTCCTGGGTTCGTTCGAAGCCGACCAAATTATAACTGCGGGTCGGTTTTTGTCCCTCTGGATCATTTCAGTCAGCGATTTTTTATGGTTCTCGAGTAATTCACTCGTGAAGTTTTCGGTATTGACAGCTGGACTTTCATCTATGATCATAATCCCTAACTCGTCTGCCAAATCCATGATTTCTTCGGCGTACGGATAGTGGGAGGTACGGTACGAATTAGCTCCGATCCATTGGATTAGGTTGTAGTCCCGAATGATCAAAGGCAAATCTAAACCTTTACCTCTAATGTCAGAGTCTTCGTGGCGACCAAAACCACGCAAGTAGATGGGTTTATCGTTGATTTTCACACTTTTGGAGTCCCAAGTGATGGTACGGATACCGATGGGTAGCGAGTACTTGTCGATGAGAGTACCAGAAGGATCGATAAGTTGGATTTGGAGGGTGTACAGGTAACCCGGGTTGGGGTCCATGAGGTAAGGCCACCACAAGCTGGCGTTTTGGACGGTGAGAGTACCTTGTAGTACCGCGTCGGAGACTACTTCGGTACCTGTTTTATCGAAAAGGGTGACTCTTGCAGTGACGGTGTCGCTACCTTCGACAACCACTGAATAGTTTATTAAACCGTTGGTACCATCAATGTCGGTTGTAACTGTTACATCGTCTATGTAAGTTTGTGGAGTTGTGTAAAGTACGACCGGACGATCAATCCCCGCGTAGTTAAAAAAATCAAAAGTGTAGGTTTGTTTGACTCGTCCACTGAAACCACACGTGAGTTTCTGTCGTTTTATTCCGCGGTACTCACCTTTCTAGAGTTGTAACAGTACCCTGAGGAATCGTCGCTTCAAGTAAAGTGTTATCAACAGCTACTGTAATTGTGTTTTCTTCACCATACACAACGATAGTTGATATGTCGGCTTGGAATGGCAAGTGACCGATGTCGTGCGTGGTAGCTAATTTGCCATTAACCCACTAAGTATAACAACGGTACTTACAATATCACCTGATTTATGACAAAGTACTTACGACTTCGGCTCCTCGACACACTGACGCAAACCTAATCCAAACCTTTAGTCCGTCCCACGACGCCGGTATGAAAAATTTGCGTTGGTACCAAACGGGTCCTACATGGTCTCTAAGGTCACTACTAGTACCTACGTCGTTGTAGCTCGATGGTACCGCCATTTTCTGGATGGTTATGTCGTCTGACGCTCTAAAGTCGATGTCGTACCATTTCTCGTTGTGGCCACGGAAAGGGTTAGTGTCGTTGGTTAAAGCAAAACTCCAGAGGCCGTCTAGACTGACTAGTTGTCGACTTTCGGATGCTCGAGGGTAGAGAATACCGGATTCGGTACCACCAAGCAGCCAAGTGGCGACCACAATTAGCAAAAGCATTTTGTAAAGGTACTCACCGATCAAAACGCTTTGTTTTGAATGGTACCACCGTGACGGATTGTCGATTTATAATTGAGTTGGAGTGGTTATCTTTTACATATTTATCTATAAGTCCTCGATGTGTCATTTTATATTTTAATGAACTAAGTAGTACTAGATTTTGTGCTTACAAAAATTTGGTGTAGATTTTCTGATAAGAGACTAATCATAGTAATTTATCTTCCAGTCGCTGATTTATTACGAGTGAATCATTATTATTATCGCATTAGGTGGATCTTTTAATTGTGTTTTTGTTCTTTGTCAAAAACAGCACCCATTTGTAATGTTATTTTCAGAATTAAATTATATTAGTTATCAGTAGAGAGTGGATTTATAAGCGCAAAACAATTAAGAATAAGCGCTTAAATAAGCACAACATTTTCAATAAAAAAGTTTTATTTTAAGCAAAAAAGCATTAAATAAGCATAACACTTTCATTAAAAAAGTTTTATTTTAAGCAAAAAAGCATTAAAAACATAATCGTATTACAAATCAAAGAACACTTCTTAGAACTTTGGATAAAATATTATTAGAATAATCCTAGACTTTATATTTTACACACGTATTTCAGTTTTCTTTAAAACAATTTATGATTGTAATATGTTCCAAGTTGTCCACTGTAAAATTTTTTCGCCGATCATTTAAAATGTGTTTAAAATTGGAGAATGTGCGTTCAACATCCACACTCGTTGTTGGCGCAAATTTGAATTTTGCAACTAATGTTTTTACCATTTGCCACTAATTTATTAACAGTAGGAAATTGCAAACGTATTCCTTCAGCCACTCTGTTTTTTTTTGAACGTTTTTTCTTGGGAGAATTTGAAAAAACAACTTTGGGGCTCCTGGTGTCTTTTTTGGATAGAATTTGGAACAATCTGGGACTCCTGAAGGTTTGTTTTTTTCTTGTAAGAATTTTGAATAATCTGGGGCCCCTTGAAGGTTTTGTCGTGGTAGAATTTGAAACAACTTTGAGGGCCTTGGTGTCTTTTTGGGTAGAATTTGGTAGTTTGGGGCTCCTTGAAGGTTTTTTTTTTTGGTAGAATTTGAAACAATCTGAAAGTCCTTGAAGGTTTTTTCGTGGTAGAATTTATAACGATTTCGGGGCCCTGATGTCTTTTTTCGGTAGGATTTTTGATATTCTGGGAGCTCTGAAGGTTTTTTTTCATGAATTTGGATGAATTTGGGGACCCTTGAAGGTTTTTTTCTTGATATAATTTGAAACAACGTTGAGGGCCTTGGTGTCTTTTTGGGCAGAATTTGGTACAATTTGGGGCCCCTTGAAGATTTTTCTGGAAGCCCCTGAAGGTTTTTTTCGCAGTAGAATTTATAACAATTTTGGGGGCCCTGATGTCTTTTTTGGGTAGAATTTTTAATAATCGGGGAATCCTGAAGGTTTTTTTTTGATGAATTTGGGGTCCCTGAAGGTAGAAATTTGAAACAACTTTGAGGGCCTTGGTGCCTTTTTTTGGGTAGAATTTGGTACAATTGGGGGCCCCTTGAAGGTTTTTCTGGGAGCCCCTGAAGGTTTTTTTTTTTGAAAAATTTGAAATAATCTGGGGAATCTGAATTTTTTTTTTAGAAGAAGTTGGAATAATCTAAGGCCTCTTGAAGGTTTGTTTTTTCGTAGAATTTGAAACAACTTTGAGGGCCTTGGTGTCTTTTTTGGGTAGAATTTTTAATAATCGGGGAATCCTGAAGGTTTTTTTTTGATGAATTTGGGGTCCCTGAAGGTAGAAATTTGAAACAACTTTGAGGGCCTTGGTGCCTTTTTTTGGGTAGAATTTGGTACAATTGGGGGCCCCTTGAAGGTTTTTCTGGGAGCCCCTGAAGGTTTTTTTTTTTTGAACAATTTGAAATAATCTGGGGAATCTGATTTTTTTTTTTAGAAGAAGTTGGAATAATCTAAGGCCTCTTGAAGGTTTGTTTTTTGGTAGAATTTGAAACAACTTTGAGGGCCTTGGTGTCTTTTTTGGGTAGAATTTGGGACCCCTTGAAGTTTTTTTTTGTTTTTGAAAAATTTGAAATAATTTGGGGACTGAAGTTTTTTTTTTCGGAAGAATTTGGAAAAATCCAAGGCCTTGAAGGTTTTTTTCTTGGTAAAATTTGAAAAAACAACTTTGAGGCTCCTAGTGTCTTTTTTGGATAGAATTTGGAACAATCTGCGACTCCTGAAGGTTTGTTTTTTTCTTGGAAGAATTTTGAATAATCTGGGGCCCCTTGAAGGTTTTATCGTGGTAGAATTTATAACGATTTCGGGGCCCTGATGTCTTTTTTCGGTAGAATTTTTAATAATCTGGGAGCCCTGAAGGTTTTTTTTCATGAATTTGGATGAATTTGGGGACTCTTGAAGGTTTTTTTCTTGATAGAATTTGAAACAACGTTGAAGGCCTTGGTGTCTTTTTGGGTAGAATTTGGTACAATTTGGGGCCCCTTGAAGGTTTTTCTGGAACCCCTTGAAGGTTTTTTTTTTGGTAGAATTTGAAACAATTTGGAAGCCCTTGAAGGTTTTTTCGTGGTAGAATTTATAACGATTTAGGGGCCCTGATGTCTTTTTTCGGTAGGATTTTTAATAATCTGGAAGCCCTGAAGGTTTTTTTTTTGATGAATTTGGGGACCCTTGAAGGTTTTTTTCTTGATAGAATTTGAAACAACTTTGAGGGCCTTGGTGTCTTTTTGGGTAGAATTTGGTAGTTTGGGGCTCCTTGAACGTTTTTTTTTTTTTTTTGGTAGAATTTGAAACAATCTGAAAGCCCTTGAAGGTTTTTTCGTGGTAGAATTTATAACGATTTCGGGGCCCTGATGTCTTTTTTCGGTAGGATTTTTGATAATCTGGGAGCCCTGAAGGTTTTTTTTCATGAATTTGGATGAATTTGGGGACCCTTGAAGGTTTTTTTCTTGATACAATTTGAAACAACGTTGAGGGCCTTGGTGTCTTTTTGGGCAGAATTTGGTACAATTTGGGGCCCCTTGAAGATTTTTCTGGAAGCCCCTGAAGGTTTTTTCGTAGTAGAATTTATAACAATTTTGGGGGCCCTGATGTCTTTTTTGGGTAGAATTTTTAATAATCGGGGAACCCTGAAGGTTTTTTTTTTATGAATTTGGGGTCCCTGAAGGTAGAAATTTGAAACAACTTTGAGGGCCTCGGTGCCTTTTTTTGGGTAGAATTTGGTACAATTGGGGGCCCCTTGAAGGTTTTTCTGGGAGCCCCTGAAGGTTTTTTTTTTTTTGAAAAATTTGAAATAATCTGGGGAATCTGAATTTTTTTTTTTTAGAAGAAGTTGGAATAATCTAAGGCCTCTTGAAGGTTTGTTTTTTGGTAGAATTTGAAACAACTTTGAGGACCTTGGTGTCTTTTTTTGGGTAGAATTTGGGACCCCTTGAAGTTTTTTTTTTGTTTTTGAAGAATTTGAAATAATCTGGGGACTGAAGTTTTTTTTTTGGAAGAATGTGGAAAAATCCAAGGCCTTGAAGGTTTTTTTCTTGGTAAAATTTGAAACAATCTCGAAGCCTTTGAAGGTTTTTTCTTAGTAGAATTTAAAACAACTTCGGCGGCCTTGGTGTCTGTTTTGGGTAGAATTTGAAAGATCTGGGAGCCCCTGAAGGTTTTTTTTACATTTACAAATCTGGTAATCGTATTGCCATTTGTTTTATCTAACATTTTCAAACTTACTACATACCCTCGACTAGGGAAATTTTCATTTAAGATTCCAACAATTAAACTTGCCACGTATCTTCCACAACTATCGGTTGTTTCATCGACAGCGAACCATAAATAATTATCTCCAGTGCGATGTTTAATTTCGTTGTAAACTTGCTGAAACACTGGGCCTACATAATTTTTTCGGAGAGTACTTTCAACCGGAATATGTCGATTGCAGTGTTTTTCAAAAATTCTTGAAGAGAGCCTTTCTCTAATTTTTTTAAAAGTATGTTGGACTGGATCATCATTTTACATAAATCGAAATTAAACTGAAACTGCTCATGTTTTGTGGAAGTAGATGCAACAGATTCATGTATGGTCTGCTGTTTAATTTTAGAAACTTGAAACATTTTTTTCCTTTCTACATGAAGAGTCGTTCTGACATGTTGCGTCACGTTATATTTTTTATCACTTTGAATCTAAAACAACGTACATATACAGGATTAACAAAGGAAAATAGAAAAAAAATTAGTGGGCTTACGGTTTTCACAAAAGCTCTGCAGAATATTTTGTTGTTTTCTAATTTTAATTCTGGAAAATCCCTTATCCACTCATCCGGCGTCGATTTTACTTTCGGCATTCTTTTAAAATATTAGTAATATTACCAAAAAGAACTCAACATGTAACAAGGGAGAACCACATATAACACTGTACTACGACAGATGCGATAGACTGATGGTTGCGAAATAAACGGTTCATTTACTTAAAAGTTTCCATTAAAAAATTTTAAGGTAGGTAGTTGGGTACAATAATCCTTTTTTCTAGAAAATTTTCAACGGTCCTACCGCAAAATGCCGAAAAAAAACATCTGGTTAAAAGCTTTAATTCATTATCAACGGAAGTAAGGATTTAAAGTCATAAAATCTATGGAGTATTTTTTCAATTCTATAATAAAATTTTATTACCCAAACGACCGGAACCTATTCACAGAAAGGGTCTTGAGTAAGTGTACTTCAATGGTCAAGTCCAGGTAAAATGCATACGATACGATACGGCTAACTAACAAGTATTTGTCATCCCGGCAAGGCCGGCATTTGAACAAAATATGCATCAAAACTCATATTCGTCGAAAAAAGCATTAAATAAGCAAATAAGTTTTAATATGCATAAAATTGAAAAAAAAGCAAATAAGCATAAAAAAAATGTGTCAAATGACTCCAAATTGTATCATAGTTACAGATATAAAAAATTTTTGAAGTGCTTACATTTTTCACAAAAAGTATTAAACCTAGAAATCCGCTCTCTAGTCATCAGTCTGTATCACGTAGTACGATTGTTTCGAAATTTTTTGGCCTGATTCGAATTAAAAAAAATTCAAAAATCGTGCTACTTCTTATCG